CTTTTGGCGGCGTGTGTATAGATGGTCGCCTTTGGACCAGCGGAGCTCGAGTTTTTCGTACGTGTCTTTCGGGAGACCCGATATGTTACCCTCGCCTCGTTTGTGCTTGTAGTAAGCCTATCCTCTCCTCTACTCCGGCATGGATTACTTGCTGAGCAATCTGCGACACGTTAGACATATGATTATCTCTTGACTCTTGGAGACGAAATAAGATCGTTCTGGGCACCTGGTTTCAGCCGTTCTAAAGCGTTATTTTTCACGGTATGTCGGCAATCCACCACACCCCCACTCCCTCCACTCCATTCAACTCAATGGTGCGCGCGTGCTAATAGTGATCGGTTTAGAATCGATATACTAGCATTTGGGTCGTCTCGTAAGCGAAATTCCACTCGGCCATCTAAGCAATTGGACCTTTCATAACGTACACCCGACTTTTTAGGCTGCGTCTATACATTGCTGTCAATACTTCCGCCTCTCCTTCCGTACGTATTTACACCATGCCCCATCCGTTTTGAATGCTAACATTCTTCGCTATTAGTTGTATGCCACGCTTTCATTTAGCAGGTCCTCTTTTGGCTAAAGAGACTTTTTTAGGTGTCGAAGTTTTCAAATGGTCATCACCTTTGGCGGACTTATCATTTTCTCGTCATATGCGTGTTAGTCTATCTCCATTCGTCTGAGGTATCTTTCCTCTTCTGACTTGAGAGGTTTCGGTTTGACAGGTGTCATGTTGATGAGAGTGTATGCGCTCTACAAGCGACAGTCCAAGGTCATCCGGGTTCTCTTGGTCATCATCATCACGCTGTGGATAGCGAATCTTGCCTTGTTAATCGAACTCGCTATTGTACGTCACCCTCTCCCTCTATGATACCGTTCTCTGATCCTCTTTTTCTCCTCATAGCGTATCCAACCTGATCGTAAGCGCCATTTCAATCGCCCAAACGTTCAGATATCTAAGCCATGGCTTTCCTTGCGGCTTTGCTTTTAGTGGTCCTAAAAGAAATCATAGGTGGATGCCCCACGAGCCTGAAA